GCAAGCACGGCAGACTAAATACAGACATCAACAGCAGACCTCCCCTTACTAACCTTAAACTGAGTCACTAGTCGCTAAGGAGTTATCGGGAGGTAGGCTACGTCGACTGTTGGAGGCTCTCTAGAGAGTGGCGCTGGGGGTAGGGCGACCGGGACCACCGGGACCGCCTGGGCCGCCTGGGCCGCCGGGACCGCCAGGGAAGCCACCGCCAGGGGAGGCGACACCGCCGTCCTCGTAGTAGTGGGCGGCGGCGTGGGCCTGGGCGGTCTGGTTGGCAGTGAGGTCGACGAAGACGGTGAGGTAGGCGAGGATGCCGTCGGCGACGAGGTCCTCACCAAGCACGACGTAGTCGACGAAGGGGTCAAACTCGTCGGTGGCCTGCTGGGCGGCGATGCCGTCGTTCTCGTTGAGGGTCAGCCGCTGGTTGTTGGAGGCGTACGGCTCGTTGAGCTCGACGGCCGTGATCAGGCTCTGGTCGAAGAACAGCTGGCCGATGTGGTGGGCAACGCCGTCCGTCAAGTAGGTGTTGTTTGGCAGCACCGTGGCGCCTGTCGTGCTCAGGATGTGAATATGGGGGGTGCGGCCCGTGTAGTGGCCCGGGAAGATGGCGTCAAACTGCGCGACTCCGTCGTCGTCGGTGATCTGGACACCACGGCCGTGGGTCGCGTTCAGGCTGCCCTGGCCGTTGCCGACGCCGGAGTACACACCGGTGGCGTTGCAGGACCAGATGTCGATCAGCATGTTGGGGATTGCCTCGAGGGTGTTGAGCTCGATGAACTGTAGGTCGAGGTGGAGAGGCACACCGGCCTGGGCCTCGGTGATATCAACCTATGGCGTTCAAAGTTAGCGGTCTCTTCTTTAGATAGGGGTAAGGGGTAATGAAAGTGGGGCGTATTTTCTGTGGTGTAAAGAACATCATGTATAAAACTCACCCGGATCAACTCTCCAGCAACCCAGTAGGGTCCAATGGTAACCTCAGGGACAAGGGCAGCGGTCGAGTTGGAACCAAAGATGACGTCTAAGGGTGTATCCAAAGTGTACCCAGTCTCCGTGGAGTCGTGGGAGATGCTGAGGTACTGCTCAAGATCGTTCTGGTCTCGCTTGTGCTTGATGTTCTCTGTTTTGCATTAGATGCTGATCGCTCCCGCAAGCCGCAGAATAGAGAAATAGACTTACTCTCGGTGATACCGCGCTTCTCACGAAGAGCCTGGGCAGTAGCAGCTCGTCGAGCAGCAGCGCGAGCCTTCAGGCCGGCGGTGGCAGGGCTCTCAGCCCATCTAGAGATGGCACGCTTGGCTGCAACCTGCGCAGTCTTGTGCATGGCCCTCTCATAGTTAACCGCCTCTTCGCTGTCACCAGGATGGGCGACAACGGTTCCAATGAAAGCGGACGCCGCCAAGGAGGCAGCGATCGTGCGTACGTTAACCATGGTTACTGGAAGAACCCCGAGGTCTCAAGAATGTGGAGAAAGAGTGAAAGCTGTGGATGAGGTAGGTAGAAATAAGTGCGGACAACGGAGAGACGACAGCATCTTTTATAACTCGCGGTCGTATATATGATATGATTTACGATTTACATTACTCACTGTTTTTAACCAGAGCTCTCTATCACGCAAGAAGGTTACGATATTCTGCTTCCCTTATTCCTAATGACACCCTCCTAAATTGACCTCCCCGGGATTCCCCTCCCGCTAGTCCCCTGGGATCTACATAGATTCACCCAGGGATCTCATGTCGAATCATGTCAGGGGCCCAGCCCACTTCGGCAGGGTGGCCAAATGGACCATCGTAAGGTAGCCAAGCAACCAATCAAAGTAGGGCGGTTGAAAACACTGCAATGCTAAAGGCTGGGCCCGAGCCAAAACCAACGTCAAATCTAGAGCGCGTGCCATGGGTTACAATGTTCTAAAATGGGTTTCGATGCAGCCTCCATTATTCTGAGAGGATATGTTGTATCAAACGGCACCTATTTGTTCATTTTTGGTCCTCTATGTTAATTCACCGACGTATTTACCGTACATACCTCTATAATGACCTAAGTAATGAGTTGAAACAATCGATACATTCATTGAAGCTTGACGGCTTGTACAGTGTGCCGGCTTTACAGACAATGTCATGCCTCCGAACTTGGGATATTGGAAGAAGAGCTAAGCGAAAGCGATGGACGGCCTCTGGAAAAGCTGCGGGCTCCGTATTAGGGATGGATTCCGTAGCAGTGTCGAAGGAGATTTGGTTTCATAGCCTCTTTTATTCTCTTTCCAAATCCTGCATACCTTCCTTTGATACTGCGCTGTAGTTCGAGAAAGAAAAGAAAAAAAGGTGTAGCAAACGGAATCGATGTATGAAATCGCGGTATAGAATCCCAATCTAACCTTATGACTAATGTAACCTGGACGCGCGGCTCTCCTATACAGTCCAATATTAATGAAGCGCCAAGAGGTCGCAGTTGCAGGTAAAGTATTTCCAACGTAATACAAGGCTCGAGGCGCTGTTTGGATCCATCTTGCATGCCCATTGCAAATTTCTTTCTTCTTGTAGCCCTGCCTTTGAGGAATATGATAGGGACGAATGCTGCAATGCCTGTCCTGGCGAGTCCTCAGAGTCTCCCGGCGGCTTATGGCGGGAATCCTATGCGGAACGGTAGTTAAGATCCACTTGGAGATCCTTGGCCAAGACCGTCTATGCCGTCCTGATACCTACCCACCCCACCTCGTCTCCCACTATCCTTGTATTCGACGCAGGATAGGACTAAGACCAACAAATGGGAGAAGTGATAATGGTAAGCGGAGACGAGTCTGAAAGGAAGGTGGGCGTCAAGTTGGAGGCGAATTAGAGATGGCCTCGGTTCCATGGGCCGAATAGTTACTCCCAGATAACAGACTTCTCTACTCACCTTCCTTTGGCATACAGTGGAGTCTGGGGCTAGCCCCCTATTGGAATTTGCCACGATAGTAGCGCCTTGCCAGCTGAGATACCTGAAGAAGATATGACAGAGATGTACGTAAGGAGAAAGAGACTCGTCAGTGTCAAAAACGCCTTCTGTTCCGTGCTTTGACTACGCGTCCCTTAAACTTGGCGCGCACCTAATTTCTATCTTAGGTACATATGGCAGATTGAAAACACATAATGCGTATGGTTACTAAATGGTATTGGAATATGCTGGAAGGGGATGCCGAGACTAAATAACAATGATTTTCGACGCGTTTCGGGCGTCTCACATTCGCCGTGGTTCTTTTGTCTCGGTTGCTCGGCATCGATAGAGCATACGGAATAGTGGAATTCGTTCTAACTCATCACATGTTTTTCTCGAAGATCTAGACAAGTAGATCAGGGCTGGCTGTGGAGTGTAAAGACATTCTAGAACGATCTGGCTGGAAAGTTCTATCCCCAGTTGCATCTTCCCCTAGTATTGCTTACTACCTTCTTTGCCAAAGACTGAAAAACCTCAGGGTCCGATAGTCTTAGTCTAGAGCCTGAGTGACGAACGTGATTTAACACCGGCGTTGAATAAGAGTGCTCTTAGGTGATGATTCAGCACGAGGCTAGAGAAAGTAGTTACGTGTCAAGCAGCACTAGACACGCTACCTAAACTGCAATTATATTACTACGTAGAGGGGATCCCCATGGATCATAAATGACGTAGAATTTGGGCGGTCTTCCTCTACATGCCTGTTATTAAAGATATGGATCTAGAAGAAAACAGGGAAATGTTTGCTATCTTCTGAGCAATATAACAATATGTCAAGGATCCCAATGCACCTGGGACGGGCACAAGAAGGGGATAGTGAAAGCTCAGAATTCTCTATAGATACTTGTCTCTCGGTTAAGGCCCCCAACCCTTCAGTCATCAGCCCTAGTCCAAAACTAGCAGAATAATTACGTGTGAGGAGAGTGCTGAGTTCAAAAGATCAAGGATCTGAGTGCTCACCTAGGTACCTAGGTATGTATAGTAGTTAGGTAGATAGATAATTTCTGTGCAGCGTTATCCCCATTTCTGTGTCCTTTGGCTCTAAATCATGATACTTCATTTTAAAGAGCCGATTGGATAGGTCTGAATTATTGAATTGTCTATTGCGACCTTAATTAGGCTGCCTAGGATATACTCTACTATCCTACGTGTTTGCCTTTCGTAGTCGACATTGATGTTTACCGAGGGAAACTCCTAGGAGGCACGTAATTGTTTCCTTGATGCATCAGAATTTGCTTGTTGTCTTCCTTTCTCCCTTCCTCAGGGACCTAGGGGACCAAAGCGATTTATTATCAAATGAATATACACTATTCCAAGCCCTCAAGATAAACCCTTGTATAAACGTATCAACGAGCCGCAATGACGTTATACCGGATTCTGCTCGGAACCTTTACCTTCAAGCATTGGGTAACAGAATGCCCAGCATTGATTAAATGACATACGCGTTCCTTATATATCTATATTAGCCGGTAGTCCTTACACGTCACACTCTATTTGACGTTACCACTTTTCGGGTGTAACATCGCGTGACCCCTGGGAACACACCCCGCAAAAGTGCCTCTACCCCGGCAGACGGAACTAGAGACTCCAAGGTGAATATCGGCATTGTTAAACGACAAACTTAGATCGTAACCTCTCAGAGATACCTAAAAGCTTGGGGCTTCTCATTATCCGAAAGCAAAGAGACATTGTGTTTGGAAGTGACGCTTGAAAATTCGTTTTAAGCGAGAGTTTCTGCCATGACAACACATATCGAAAATCATTATAATAGAAGTACCTTAAAATCCTTGAATAAAGCTTGATTCGAGGAGACATGAACAAGAATTCGGCGATTTAATGTTTGGCTGGTTGATGTAGGCTGTACCAAAGCAACGGCTCAAATCTAATAAAATCATTTTCGCAAAAGGGGTAGGATATGTAGAAGGCATGGTTAGTAAGGAATAGGGATCCTACCCGGGTGCATTTTCTTTCAGATGATAACAAATAGGGTGTGTGAAAGGTGAAAAAAGAAAGAAAAGAAAAAGAATCTGAATCGCCAAGGGTCGGATTCGAACCGACGATCTCCGGTAGAGCAGGTGGTAGGTATCCACTGAAGCCCCCTCACTGTGCCTAGCAGCCACGTTTTTCCATGGTGCCTGGCATCCGCGTCCAGGGATTCAGTGCATGTCGCCAGGCCTGCTGTCCCAGCGTCTTACCACTAGACCACCCCAGCTTTCGAATTAGTGATAATGGGTACTGCAACTTTGCCATATAGCCCTTGCTGCAGGTCAGGTGCCCACGTCGGTTATTCCCTGGGATACCGGGACTACGTCGGCGCGAAGTACTTTTCTGTTCGTACTGGCGTTGCCCTGCAGACTCGATAAACCAGTTGCATCTATGATCTCTGTACGCCAGCCAGTGCACTGTTATTAGAATTGCAGCTTCATACCTAGGTACCTATGCTTGAATTTCACTATGCACCCTTCCTCCATGTACTATATCCCTGTTTTCACTGACTGTATCATAGATGACCCCTAGACAATTCTACTACATCCCAGTACTACCTAATCCCATTCTTTGTTTTGTTTTCTGTTCTCAGTCTAGGTACCTATGAAAAATCCATGATAGCTTATTTACGTTTCGTCTCTTGGCCATGCATCATAGTATGGTGATAGGACCTAGGCACGGCCCTCTCTGCATACCTACCTACACATACCTAGATTTAACACATGACCTTTGTGCACAGCGTGGTCAAGCGGAATGCATATTCCGGCAACAGCTCCCCAAGCGCCTTGGGCATGTTAGAAGTTATGGTGCCGCCCCTATTCAGAAATAATTACCTCCTAAGAATCATCAGTACCTAGGTACTTACATTTGTTTTGATTTTCCATTCCCGGACCGTTTTGGCACATTCACGCAGGATCTGTCTATAATTTACTTTCAAATCTTTTCATTCCTAAGTACATGTAGAAGGATAGCCTTAACTTCAATCTGGAGCTTACAAATATAGATACTCTGCCTATCTCAAAGAAGCGTGAGGTCTGCCACCACGGCCCTATGGTCGCTAATGAATATGCCATCTACATAATCCGTCAGAAACTCGAACTGCGAGGCCAGATAACGGTTCTCGCTTGCAGGACCAAACCAGACGAAATCAATGCGGCTGATCGCCGTAGTCGAGAAGCCCGTGTACGTCAGCTGGTTGGTGCCGAGGCGCGTGGCCCCCGAGTTCCACATCTCCGTCAGGTATCCCGTGCTCGCGAGCGTGCCGTACGCGTCGCCGCTCGGGTCCGAGTTGAAGTCGCCCGTCAGCGTGACGCCCAGCGGCCCGTACTGCGCCTGCACTGCCTGGATGCGGGCCACCGCCACCTTGATGCCCTCGCTGCGCGCCTGCGAGCTCACGTTGTCGAGGTGCGTGTTTGCGTGCATGAAGCGCGTACCCGTCGCGATGTGCTCGAACACGCCGATCACGACGACCCGGCGGCTGCCGGCGCCCCAGCCGTAGGAGACTTGGTCGGGGGTAGGGGAGAGCCACTTCTGCTCGCTGTAGACGAGCCGGAGGACGTCAGTCCGGTAGAGGATCGGGTTGTACTCGCCGGACTTGGCGCCATCGTCGCGGCCGAAGCCGATGTGGGTCCATGGCGATCCGAGCCCGCTTTTGATGTCGCTCAGCTGGGCGTCAAGAACCTCTTGCAGGCCTATGATTATGACTGCGCTAGCAGATGGTGCGTTGGCGATCGATGTCTTCAGCTGGTTGATGAGGCCGGGGCGGCGGTCTGCCCATGGTCTTTCGTTGGTCTCGCGCGACGTGGCCGCGTAACGAATGTTGTGCGAGATGACGCGCAGAGGCAAACCGGCTGCTACGACTATACCCGCCATAGCGAACAAGCCAATGAGAACGGCCCGGAGCTGCATTTCACGAGACGAGAATTTTCAGTAATCGAAGTTCATTTATAACTCAACTGTTCAGCAGATATCATGGGACCACGAATTAGCTTTAATAGGACGACATACCGTCCTATTAAGCTTCCGTTCAAAGCAGGTTCGAGATAAAGGCCTACGGACGAGACACGTGGGGTTACATCAGAACTCGTGAGCAGCTTGGCTTGCATGCTTTGTGGACGAATGCCGGCGACGATAGGACGTCCTCCCGTCGACTCTGCCATTAGTAAGTTGCATTTGCCTATGAAAACGCTGTGCTGGGTGACTCTTATTTTCAGCATATTCTTGTTGCAAAATTCGGTAGGTGGAATTATCTCTAGGACCAAATGAGCCGTGCTAACTCATCTGTCGGTTTGTTCTTTTATTTCTGCCAGTCTTGACCGCCTCCTTCTCTTAACCTCGCAGTGTCTTAGGTAGGTAGGTACCCAACGTAAATTCGCGTTTTTGTCGGCATGAGTGACTTTACTGGTTTTGTCTTTTCGTGTGCTGCTTTTTAATTAATATACAAGTTTGGTCAATGTCTGATATCATTAGTAAGTGCAAGAGTGGTAAGAAAGGGAAAAACGTATTCGTACCTAGGTATTGAACACCATTTGGTGTCCACCAAGGCAATCAGTGACGTCTTGGATAGACCGTCAATGAGCCGAATTTGGACGTTTCCAGAGATTAAGCTTGCTTCTGGGATCAGAATCAGGTGCGGCGGTAAATCTCCAGAATGGCGACAGATGATAGACGCCATGACTTGATTCCACCATGTCCAAAAATTAATCTCATCCAGGGGCTGGCGGACTATGGGTTTACCTATGCGTACCGTCGTAGCGGAGGATATTGGTAAGAGATGGTATAGTATTGTCCTGTTGTGGATGAAAATTCATGCCACCCGCGCCTTCCGGGTAGCAGACAGCTCAATCACCCGAACCGGAGTCACCGAATCACTCGGTCCATGGACGCTGGCCGACTACCTTGCCCTCATCGAACAGATGGCCTTGATATATTTTGCTAATCCTACGGCAGTAAAATGGCACCTCATCGCCGTCGTGACCTCTTTTTTGGTTTGTTATTTATTTGCGTCGCTTCCATTGCTTCTAAAACTGGACAGCTCCTTTTTAGTGACATTGTACTACCATAATTGAAAGATAATGTTAATGCCCAGTAGCGAATTACCAAAACGAAGCTCAAGTGTGCATTCCATCAACGCGGAAGCCTCTCTGCCACCTGCCTTTGTTAGCGAGATAAGGTTTACGGAGTGTATCCAATTTTCCAGACATTAGGGGTCCAACTGGCGGATCCAGCCATAATCTACTCTTAGGTAGTTACAACACCAAAATTTAAAACCAGAGTTATTCGTCTCTTTTCGGCGATGGGCACGGAATTTGAATAGTTTAGGTATGTTGATGTGCGCTTACAAACCTGAACTCAATGGCCAGCCTTCTTGGGTCCCAGGCTGGGATGATGCGGGCTATAGCATTATTCATTGGCTCCTCGGACAGCTTCACCATATGGGGAAAGCTCTGTGGCCACTGTTCAAAGCGGCGCGCATTGGAGACGTCCTTGTTATTCGCGATGGAGTCGACTTTCCTGCTATATTGCGAAAACGAGAGCAAGACTGGTAGATGAGTTCTGGGTGAGAAGAAGGATTTATTAAAGGAGGAGTTCAGAATTATTTGGATATTACTTGTTCCACTCATGTCAAGTCAGATTAGGTGACTGGCCGTGATTGATTGATTGATTGATTATGTTCAGCGTCATGAGGGATACTGCGTAGCAGTGGCCCACGCCTCCCAAGGGGCACGAGACGTGGCAAGCTGTACTCAATCATACTAGTTACATAGGGGCTACAGAAGCGGTGATTGGCCGTAGAGGCTGGCTTAGAAGATAAAGGAAAAATTAGTGGGGATAGGGGTTAAGAGCAACAACGTCGTGGTTTCCCATACCTTCGTTTTTACGTACCTAGGTAGTGCAGGTGGTAACCTAGCAACCTCGACTTTGCAGGCACCAAGCAAACAGGGCAGATTGGAATTTGCTTAATAAACGATATCAGAAGCTCTGCATTTAGGTAAACAAACGTGCCCACCTCGCTTTCTCAACGTCTGCAGGCACGCGTGCTTGGGGTAAATATTTGTTTTCTACCAAAAGCAAGTGATCACAGCATCAATCCAACTTCGCGAGGTTTCAAACGTTACAGATCATCGATAGATTTTCTTTGGCTGCGCCCTGAAATACCTCGACGAGCACTGCAGCAGTGACAAACTACCTGATCAGCACTTCATACCTCGACATCCAACAAAGATCGGACTCGCTCTGCCAGATTACAGAGCACAACAGCACCTACGTCTAACGACTTCCAATATCTCCGCCTGATTCGTCTCCCCTTGTCGGCCCCTTCTGCTCGCGAGCAAGATGAACGAAATCGACAGAAAGGCTGCGGCCGTCGTGGCTTCCCTGAAGAAGATCTTCGGGGAGCGCATGGACAAGATCGATCGACGTCTGGATGACCTCGAAAGCCGCCTGGACGAGATCCAGGACTACCTGCAAGAAGAGGAGGACAACGCGGAGGGTGCCCAGTCAGATGCGAAACCTGCGAAGAAATCCAAGTCGGATGCAGATGCTGTCGATGCGCGCCTAGACAGTCTTTCCGCAGAAATGGAGAAACGTAAGGCTCAACTCGAGGAGGAGCTCAGAGACCCGAAGGGCAAATCAACGTACATGAACCCCATCTTGCATTTTGTCGTGGGGAGAAAAGCTAATATGGAGCTAGTGACAGCTAAATGCCACAACCTGCGTATACCATATTAAGTTGCCCGGCATACTGATTTGGAGATGGTGGCTCTCCAAAATCTGCCTTGAGATACTATTGCAATCGACGAGTTCTTTTAGGGCAATCTTCAAACATACCAGGCAAGTAGCATTCCCCATTACATGCATTGTTGACGAAACAGACTACTAATAAAGTCCTTATTAGCCCTTGACCTGGGACGACTCTCGTCCCTTCCTGATCTACATTTGCGTCGAAGGATCTTTGCGAATGAAACGAAGCTGGGTATTACGCGAAGCCGGTAGTGTTGCAAGGCAACAAAAGTTCATGGCCTAGCCCCTAGGTAGCAATGCGACGAAGTTTTCCAGTCACCATTAAGGCCTCGTAAGCTGTGAATAAGTGAATGGTAACGACTGTGATAATAAGTATTCTTAACCCGACACGATCTCACCTAAGGTTTCGTACTTAGTCCAAAGGCGACTAGTTACCGCACTGTTTCAGTAAAATAACGTACCTGGGGACGAAGAAGCGAATGT